AAACGGATCTAAGTGAAACATGAGGCAAACTCTGCCTTATTGCCTTAGCGTTGCCCTTCTCAGCTCTAGGGATCTGAGCTTGTGCCGCTGGGCAAATCTACCCCTGTTGGTGTGAAGAACAGGAGGACTTGCTGGGGGTCCCACCCGCCCTACTGCATCTCCAACCAGACACACTTCTCAGGAAGTGCAGGCGGATTAGATCCCCACCATGGAACCATCTCAGAGGACTTTTGAGGAACTGGAGCCCTTGCCTATTGGGTCTTGAGTGGCTGCTGAATGTGAGCGTAGAGAATGAGAATTAATTGACGCCCACCAACCAGTGTGTTCTACAGAAATTTATGTGCTTTATAGCCTGTTCTTGGAACAGGCAGACTTCAAGAATATGTAAGCATTTTAGGAGTGCCAAAGCCTAAGTTGTTGCTGGAGCTCTGAATAACTACTGGCTAAGGAGTCCCAGGGGACCATAACATAGCACAGGCAAGAGTTTTCAATACAGAAATAATGGAGGAAAATTTGGGAAGGCTGAACCTTCACCTTTTGTGTGCTGTACCCTGTATATTACTTTGGAAAATTATAGAAGGCAATATACATTTTCTACTCTGGTGAAAAAGTTTATACATTGAAAGGCATTTTGGTAGAACAGACTTAAACCTATTGTGAACCAGGTACCATTTAACGGTTATAACCTACCATAATGATTAATGATTACCTTAATAATTACCACACTATGGGATTCGATATTATATTTATGTCCTTCTAATTTTATGCCTATTGTTTTAGAAGATGAGGTGTCACTGCATTGCTCGGGCTGGCCCCACACTTTTGGTTATACATCATTCTTTATTCTCAGCCTCAGAAGCACTTGGGCCTACAGCCCTGGTCTACCATACCCAGTTAAAGCCATGCAATGGGTGAGGATGCTGGGGTATCAGTCAGTTACAGCCGTGTGATAGGTGAGGATGCTGGAGTACCAGTCAGCTACAGCCGTGTGACAGGTGAGGATGCTGGAGTACCAGTCAGCTACAGCCGTGTGATAGGTGAGGATGCTGGAGTACCAGTCAGCTACAGCCGTGTGGTAGGTGAGGATGCTGGAGTACCAGTCAGCTACAGCCGTGTGGTAGGTGAGGATGCTGGAGTACCAGTCAGCTACAGCCGTGTGGTAGGTGAGGATGCTGGAGTACCAGTCAGCTACAGCCGTGTGGTAGGTGAGGATGCTGGAGTACCAGTCAGCTACAGCCGTGTGGTAGGTGAGGATGCTGGAGTACCAGTCAGCTACAGCCGTGTGATAGGTGAGGATGCTGGAGTACCAGTCAGCTACAGCCGTGTGGTAGGTGAGGATGCTGGAGTACCAGTCAGCTACAGCCGTGTGGTAGGTGAGGATGCTGGAGTACCAGTCAGCTACAGCCGTGTGATAGGTGAGGATGCTGGAGTATCACAGTCAGCTACAGCCGTGTGATAGGTGAGGATGCTGGAGTACCAGTCAGCTACAGCCGTGTGGTAGGTGAGGATGCTGGAGTACCACTGTCAGCTACAGCTGTGTGATAGGTGAGGATGCTGGAGTACCAGTCAGCTACAGCCGTGTGATAGGTGAGGATGCTGGAGTACCAGTCAGCTACAGCCGTGTGATAGGTGAGGATGCTGGAGTACCAGTCAGCTACAGCCGTGTGATAGGTGAGGATGCTGGAGTATCACAGTCAGCTACAGCCGTGTGATAGGTGAGGATGCGAGAGCACAGAAAGATTATTTAAGTGGCTTGGGGTTGCACAGCATTAAGGTGGAAGCCCCAGGATCTGAACTGAGGCAATTCAGCTCAAGGATGGCGATGTTATTGCAGTGATGTACAAGAGTACTCCAAGCAAGGGAAGACGCCTTTAGTGAACAGCCGGCTTGCTTCTGTCTTTTTGACAGAAAAAGATTCAGGATCAAAGTATAAATAACTCTTAGAAAAGTCTTCACTCTAACTTTTTAACTGCCCTGAAAGAGTCACATGGGCAGAGACTTGGGAAAACCATTTTATCTAAGCAGTGCTTACATAATGCATCCTAAGTGTTGCCAGCCAGTGAGTGGTCCCAGCAATCTGTCAGATTCCTTTAACCCCACAAGGTAAGACCCGTTGTCCCCACTTTCCCAGAAGATGAACCAAGAATCTTTATCAGCTGAGCCATTGAGAACCCCCTGAAGAACTCGAAGCCCCCACTTTTCATTGGTAAAACCGGTACAATAATGCTTCCTAAAGATATATATATTTTAGCTATGAACTAAATGTTTTGTGTCTAACATGTTAGATAACTGTAGGAAACTCTTATTAACAGCGAGATTGGCACTTCTGTTGCCAGTAGCAATTAGAAACAAAATATATAAAGAGAAAAATTTAACTTTAAGATACGTTCTCACTAAAGATTATGCATTATAACATTTCAAACAGTAATGTATATGATATATATTAATGTATTTACAGTGAGCATAACAATATCTAAAATATATACAATTTCTGAATAAGAACTAAAGTATTTCCGTCTCCTTCCTTCATTCAAATACTAAAGTTCTGGAATGGGAAAACGCTAATACAAAGTTGGGATCACGGCTGCAAGAGCAGCAGGTTCCGTGAACTTACATCTGGAAAATACAGTTGGGGCTAGTTGATTCTTCTCTAAACCGCCCTGTGTGGCTCCCAGTCATCAGATTTCCAAAACTCACAGCAAATTCCTCCCTGAGAATCTGCACATGTCGGCTCTTATAAGCTGTGTCGCTGTTGGAGGAGATCTTGAGAGATCTCCAAAGGAACATTAAATTTCTAGGATTTTCACTCTGAATTTTTCCCCCCTTCCACACATTTTTTAACCCCTCCAAAAGAATCTCACAGGAACAGGCTTGCGGAGCACATGTCATCTGAGCCCTGCAGCTATTGTGACCTTAACCCAAGCTTCCCTTACACGTGAACACCTTTCCAGGCATGGAAACCCCACTGAAGTTCTGTGGCTTCTTCACTTGATTTTAAAGTGAATTTTCGAGCTGGCACATGTTTGTGGACTACACAGGGGTCTCTGTGATGCTCTGCCACGTGTATTCACATGTGTGATGTTGAACTGTATGCATGCTTTTGTCGTTTATTTTTCCCGTGAATTTTCTAGCTGCTGCATGGACTTTGGGTAGGTGTGGGTGGAGGTCCTCTGTGATCCACAGCTGAGCACATGCCCCTGCATGATGCTGAACAGTGTGGTGGGCTGCGACCCTATGGGCCGGAGCTACATTCCTAGGAAAGAGTTTTTTGGTTGTTGTCAGGAAGTATGATGATGTATGAACAGACAGCCTTAACATCTTGTCTTTTCCAAAGAAAGTGATCCTTGGTTTTTGTTTTTTTAATAATTAAAATGGGGGCTTATAAGCAGCTGCTCATCTTGAGATCCATATCTACTTGGGGATGATGCAGTCATGGTGTCCTAGCCCCCACCCCATCTTTGTCCTCACTGTTATCCCAGCAAAGTTCTTCCAGGTTTTGCCTGCAATCACTTACTTTATCAATACTGCATAAGATGGTGGCCACCAGGTACATGCAATCTATGTCAAGATTATAAAATCAAAAGAAATAAAATTGTTCATATAACTCCAGGCACAGGGGATCTGATGCCCTCTTCTGGTCTCCTTGGGAATTTCATACACATGATATACAGACATTTATGGAGGGAAACACGTACACTCATAAAAATAAATTAGTCCATACTTAAATTTTTTAAAAGATGATGATTATGTTGGCACACATTTCTTCAGATTTACATATATGCATGCATTTTTAAGTATTCAACTTCAATTTTTAGGAGGAATATCATGTAGACAGTCTGGTGATGGTAATGTTTCTCACTTCTGACAATACCACAATTGAGTTTTCCCCTCTTAGCTGTGTCTATAGAGGCTGGATTCAGTCCTGTCCACTGTGTGGTGTTAGGTTTTCCAGAAAAGCCCTGTTGGGGTTTCTTTCGACTATCCTGTCAGCCATCCGAATCCCCTTACACTCATGTTTACCAGAAGAATTCCCGTGAAGCCACACAACACAGAGACATTTCTACACACATGGGGGAACGGTGGTAGGGAACACTCTTTAAGAACTCAGAAACAAGATTCTCAGCTTGTTCCTTGTGACCCTGTGCTGACAGGATTGCTAACTGGTCAACCAACGAAAGCCCGGGAACATGAATGAAACGTCACTGTTAACCTATGAGGTAGGCTTGGTGCCCTGTTTTCCCCAGGCTGCAACACCAATGACCTCCCTTGTTCCCACTTCTAGGAGTGTAGACCAAAATTATGTTTGTAGACGACATCAAAAATCAGAATGAGGTCCTTTTTGATAAGCCAGTGTTTCTCAATTATGAGATGCTCCTTAGAAATACGGAAGTCTGGACTTCATAGGAGGGCCTGGGAATCGACTTTTTGCTAATTTCTAGAGGGTAAGATTTTCATCTTTGGACACTTTAAAGTAACAGAATGCCCCGCTGGCTGAGACATCTTGATGGAGACCATTTCAATCAATAGAATTCCACTTCCAAAGCAGAAACAAAACAACTGCGTCCTTGCTACTCTTCAAAGCAAACATGTAGAACCTCAGAGAGCAAATAACAAAATTGAGGCTGACATCGGGCACTGCCCAGAGGACGCAGGCATCTCACTTGTTGCTAGGAACCCAACATAAGCCCAGAAGCTATACCGCCGATAGTGACCTTTTATCTGGAATCTTGCAAGCCATTTTTTCCTAACAGCATCATCAACAGTATTTGGAACTTTGACAAATATGAGAGGTTACACAAGCAATTCACTGATTTCAATGTAAAAAAAATTAAAAAAATATCTTTAGAAATTTGCAAGATCTGCAGAGACCATTGCTGTCGCTCAAACCTCTCCCTGGTTTTAGAAGGCCGTTAACACGATTTAAAGACCCTTGCATGGAGCTTTCCCTTGCATTTCCTGTGCCACCCAAGCCCAGCACAGCTAGACATGCCCATTCTTACCACAGAGATGGAGTTGGTGAGCAGTGTGCCGTCCTGGCCCAGCATGTTGGACACGGTGATCTCTGGCAGGTCCATGTTTTGCGGATGGAACGGGAGCAGGCCGTTGTGGTTCATGGGGTGACAGAGGGAGTGGTACCCCGACTCCACCTCATTCAGGTGCACCAGAGAGTGGTCGGGAAGGGAAGGAGGTGTGATGGGTGGAATGTTAAAGTCTTCACTTTCCAGACTTGGGCCAGGGTAGGACTGAAAGACAGGAGTTACACAGACGGCTGTTAGCATCCACTTGGTCACTACTGTCAAGCGCAGGGGCACAGTGGCCCTCTGGTGATACCTACCAGAAGCATTACAGATTTGGCTAAGATATTCAAACATTGGGATCACCCTGGTGCTTTGTGTCTCTTATGTATGGAAGAAGATGCCAGTGTTACTTCCTCTGCTCTTGAGACATCCTCTTTTGGTCTAAAACCTGCCTCTGTTATGTGGCTTTGTTTTCCTAGGAAGTTGAACTCAACCAGATTTCAATAATTCCATTCAAATTTTTTAGAGTATTAATCTAACTGAATACCTTTTTTCCCCCTGAGAATTGTGGCAATTTATAAAATTGTTTGATCAAACATGTTTCATTAGACTCCCTACTGCTAAGATTATGGGATGTAGTAAAAATGAATTCCAGAAGTCTGGGGCAGTTGCTTTTCAGTGTGAAAAACCTAACAACTTATAATTAAAAAAAAAGTTGTTAGTTAAGAAGTAAGCTAAGACTGTGCCTACGGGTGTATTCATTGAAAGTTTGTAACACTTTTAAAATGCTATTAGATGCTAACTTTGCCACTAACATTTTACCATCAAAATAAAAGTGAAGATTGTTCTCATGACCTCTGTGAACATGTATTTGATTTTCTCCTAAAGGCTGATAACACTGCAACCATTTAAATTCATCCCCTTCCACGGTGAAAGACACAAACAGTATTAATACTATATAATAATGATTGTGAAATAAAAGTTAATCAGTAAGATAAATAGCATTAACACATCAGAGATTGCTTTTTTATGACGTAGCTTGGAAACAGGAAGAGATTGAAGAGGAAGAGAAAGGGTATATGAAGACAAGCCTGCTTAAGAAGAGAATATGGGAAAAGTTGAAAATGGGAGAGGGAGCTGAATAAACATTGTTAGTGATTAACATCAATATACAGGGTCAGAAAGAACTTATTTTGTTAAACAGGTGTCATAATAGGAAAGGAAACATTCTGGCCCAGATAATTCTTACAAGTCAATCTTTCAAATTCCAGGGGCCTTAAAGGTTGGTGTGCACGGGTAACAAAGATTCTCTTGTCTAACTGTACAGCGCCTGCTACAGTGTGTAAGATTTGAAACACGCAGGCAGAGTGGAGGAGCCAAAGAAAGTAGTGTTCTGTGTTCATTGGGTGTTCAGCCAATAAGCTTTATGCCTCCCTGTCCAAATGCCTGGGGTTATGTTTTCCAGATGGCGTCTATTTGTCTAACAGAAAGAAAATCTTCAACTTGCACTTGCTAAATGTTGAACAAGTTCTGATGTATTTGCTTAGGTGCTGTCAGAAGGCACAATTAGATGAAGAGCTACTTAGAACATCTGGAGTCTGGAGGTGCTCATGAAGAAGAATGTGCAGGTAACATCCAAAGGCCGTGAAGGGAAGGTTTGCAGCCTCTTCACAGATACTTTTGCTTAAATATACAACAGTCTGCTTAAAAAAAAAATACCACCAGTTCTAAAAGTTTAGTGACCCTTACTAAAGTCTTTCATTAGCAGAGTAATTTTTTTATGTCTCAAAAACAATTTAGTGCCCTGTGACAATATTGTAAGTTTGGTTACCTGGAAATACAGACCCCAGCTCGCAGCTTCTTGTAGGAGTATTCAGTCTAAGATACGAAAAGACCCAATGAAGAAGGAGGAAACTGTATTTCGCCACTACTGTGTCACATAAAGAACGGCAAAGGCCCTTTCACTGTCCTGTCTTCATGAAAGCCTTAGAACCACCTTCTCTGTGTGGATCTTGTTCCTCCTTTTGCTGATGAGGAAACTGGGGTCCAGAAGCTCTGTAGTGACTGACTTAGTCTGTGTGTGTGGGAAGAGTGAAAAAGGAAAGAAGCCATTTTACCCCTTCCCTCCCTTTCTCTCTCTTTGTTGGGATCCAACCCAGGGTTCTGCAGATGAGAGACTGCTGTCCCTGAGCTCCACTGCTAATTGTTACCATTTTATTTGACTGAATGATGCAAAACACCTTTGTTACACAAACTGTCCACACTTTCAGAATTATGACTGCCACCAGCTTACTCTTCCTTGTCTTAAATCCTACCCACCAAGATGAACTATTTGCTTGACATAAGCACAAGAATTCACAATCTCTCCGCCGGCATTGCAGATCCTGATTTTTGCTGCACAGTGTTTAAGACGTAAATCGGTGCCTGTTTGAAACTTTCCTCCATAAGGCAAAACTAACACAGCAGTAAGGCAGAAAGCTGGTTTTAATTTCAGAAGTGCCATTAACCGTCCAAAAATACTCAGGGATATTTCAGCCAGGGTGTACCGTGACTTTACATTCTAGAGTTTCTTCAGTAGTTAAATCTTAATTTGTGGAGTTTGAAGGGAAGGTTTAATTGGTATCGACTTACACTTGGTGATAACAATTGCACTTCAATTTAGCTAAGCTACATGGTTTATTTTCATGTAATTACACATTAAGGTTATTTAATCCGTACAATTATATGCCAAAGCCGCAGACTCCACAACTTAACTGGTAATGCGTAGTTATGTGGGTCAAGAATTTTAACAACGTAAGGTTACTTAGCAATTCTGTCTCTTACATCTGAAGCCGTGATGTGGTTATTTGCCACGAGCCTATTAGAGAGTAACTGATGCCCTATAAAAGTACCATTGTAATTCTTTGAGCGTCAAAACATACCAGGAGTTTTTAGAAGTGCAACAGCAGACTTTTTTTTTTTTTTTTTGAACATGGAAATGAATCTCCAGTGCTGGCTTCTATGACAAGGCAGGTAACTCTGATTCCAGACCTGACTTGGGGGTGTGTTAACAAGTGAGATTTCTGTTACATCCAGTTTGGAGGGACACAGCACAATAGGGTGTGATTCAATTATTTTTTTAAAATATTTATTTATTTATTTATTATTATATACAATATTCTGTCTGCGTGTATGCCTGCAGGCCAGAAGAGGGCACCAGACCTCATTATAGATGGTTGTGAGCCACCATGTGATTGCTGGGAATTGAACTCAGGACCTTTGGAAGAGCAGGCAATGCTCTTAACAGCTGAGCCATCTCTCCAGCCCCCGTGATTCAATTCTTATTCGTGAGAGTGCTTGTTAGGATTGGTATTTAGCATTTGTTGAATGAATAAAAAAAGATCACCAAATGCATGCATTCATGAATGAATGAGTGCGAAACTCTGTGTTTCAAAGCACGAAGCTTGTGAATATATTTCAATTATTTCCCAGGCTTAAATAATTATCTCTGTACCCAAGACTGCCCTGCCCAGTTCATAGCAAGGGGGCAACAGTCACCTCACACTGTGCCCAACAGTCAGACTGTCCTGTGAGAAGAGTGATGGCTGCAACAGCCCAAGGGAGGCTGGGCAGAGGAGTCTGAGGGCATTTTCCTGTGACTTCAGGGTCCAGTGTCTGAGTGTCCCATGACCTGGCCTGGAAGGGACTTCTTTCCCATCCCAGAGAACATAAACAATTCATAACACAGTTTATGAACTCTGGCTCTCAGAACTGTTGGCACCTAATTCTCTCAGTGTCGTGAGGGCACCTGGGGTGACAGCTAGGGAGCCTGAGGTCAGGTCATGGAAAGTCTGAGCCCCATCTTAAGAGTCTGTTGAAAGGAGTGAGAATTCTGATCACAGCAACAGAACATTCCAGAAGGACCAGCTTGGTAAGACTAAGGTAAGGCCATCCTGTGCACACAGGACCAGACGTAGTACTTACTCACCAATATGGTCCCTTTCTGTTTCCCACTTAGTTTTCCCCTCCCATTGTGGCCTGGATTCTAAGCAATCAACCCTCCCAGGAACAATGATCATGTGATCCTTTCTAAGGTCTCCATATTCCTATAAGGCAATAATGCTACTTTTTAAAAAATAGCTTGACATAGAGGTTACCTTAGAGTTTATCCTATGTACTAGGAGGCTCCCTTGGGCAGAATGCAGAGAAAGATAGGTACGAAGTTTCAAAGTAGTACTGACTTCTTGGTTAGCATCTATAGTCTCATATCAGAGGCCAGAATCTAAACCATTTGCCTCCCTTGCTTCCAACAAATACGGAAGCCACTGATCACCATCTCCATAAATAGAAGGAAGTACTCAGGGACAGCGAGGTAAAATGCATTCCTATACTTTCCATTTTTCCTGTTGAAATTCGCCTTGATGAAAGGTAATTTGGAAACAGGCATGCAAATAAACTAATCTAAGCACATTTGCCATGATCCAGTGACGCAAAAGAACTCAGAGCTCGCTTGATTGCAGGCTCTTCACTGCTCACAGACACAAGGAGCTCTCATGGCAATACAGGTGCTGAACCTCACTGTGTTCTGCAGAATCCAACCACCACTGAGCGTGGGCTGGGGCAGGGCATACTAGAAGGGCTCAGTTAATTCTGGAAAAACAAGTGAACTAGGCTTCAAGGGGATTGTTTGAAGCATTAAAGTAGCAACTTTAAACTCTTCTCCTCTTCAAGAGAGTATGTTTGTAGTTGTAAATAGCCAGGATCCGTGGCTATTGCCAATCACTTTCTTTTTTTTTATTTTATTGATTTTTATTGAGCTCTACATTTTTCTCTGGTCTCCTCCCTGATTCTCCCTGCTCCCCCCAAAAACTGGAAAAGTGGTATCTGCCCATTTCACCCAGAAAGTGCCACCTCGTTCTCTGATGAGGCTTGGATGGGCTGCGAATGGTAATGATTCCTTTAGTGACCACAAAGAGTCACAACCTGTTGGAAAGTCTTGCAGCTATGGAGTTCAACAGTTAAGTCTGCATCTAGGGTCTTTAGAGCACTCAAGAGTTTGGTGTCTGAAGCAAGTTTTGTAGTCCTCTTGAGCCTATTTTGAAACTCAGTTCATAGAGATTTTAGGAGCATTTAAAACATACATTAAAAGCCCAATAGTTTATGTTCTCCAGATAAAATGTGCCTGGAAAGGGGCTGTTGCTAAATAAATTTGTAAGTATCTTAGACTGGGTCATGTCTGAATGTCT